TGCCAAGGACAGCACAATCGGATATTGTGTAACTCAATTAAGAGAAAAAGGCATTAGTCAACGTCAGGATTAGCTTTATATACGAAGGATAATAGTTTTTACGCTCATTGCTTAGGTAGATGAACATCAGCTTCATATTTTGCTTTTCTTATATTATGTTAAAACCATACTCATTGTTAATTTGTTTAAATTCCCCGAAACTCTGTAATCGTTCGAAAAGTTACTTATCCACATTCTAGTCAATCAACTTCAACCCAGTACGATGGAAACCTTCAACAAAATTTCTCTCCTCAACAAAATGGACATCTCGTGTGATATGGACCTTGGATCATTTGAAGAACGCATCAATTTAATGGACGAATTGGAACGACACTATCAGCCAGATGTGTATAAGAACTACAACCTGTTAAGAAAACTCCTCACACCCGTCCTAATAGCCGAATATGCCAAACCAAAAATCGATCACTGGACAGACATGCAAAAAACGTTAAAAGAAAGAACTGTTCTCGGATACTCCACCGCAACTTTGGGAATAATTTTGGTCGCCGGACTGTTCTGGACTAGCAGAAAATAAAAGGGTCAAACAACAGCTGACGAACAAACACATATAAAAAGATAGGATTATCGTAAAAACCCCACTCTTGCTTGCTTTGCTTCACATCGAAGCCTTGTATTAATCTTGCTACCTACGCTCTTTATTCTTGTACGCTTTTAAATTTAGTAATAAATCCTTCTCTTCATTTCGTTTAATTTCATTCACACACATAACATTATATTCGTGAGATAAGAACTCATACCAAAAAAGATCTTAACCACTGAACCGCCACCACAGCAACGAAACAAAAACATAAAATTGGATAAGGAAAATCATAATTCTCATCACTCTATTTTATCCATCAGTTCCATCAAACGATGAAAAACCGTATGGGCAACACAGAAACATTTCCACGCAACACAACTACGACAACGTAAAAAATGTATGAGGCGATTGATGGTCAGTTCGGTTTAATTACCCAAGTTTGAGGTATTTTCTCATTCTGAGTCTCCGCACTCAATGAGGGAAATTTTGGAAAGCTTTTGAAGAGCGGCAAC